CCAGCTGCACCTGAAAACCAGAAGCCTATGGGCATGGCATGGGCAAGCCCTGCCATCCATTCTGCAAGGCACTGTACTTGGACAAAAGCAGTCTGGCACAAAGATGCCAAGTCTAGCCTGTTCTACCTCTGTGATTTTTATTGTTTTTATTATTAGAACATCTCTTAAAATGGCTTTCCAAGCTTTGTTTGAACACTTTTAACAATGGGAATTTACTACCTCTTGGAAAGTCCACGCCATCTGCCAGATATTTTCAGCAGTAGTGGCATTAGAACTGCTCCTTAAACGTCTTTCCTGAAGACCATACCAGAAACTACCAAGAAGTTTCAGTGTTCCGGCTGCTTCATAGGGCCCTAGGGGCTCAGAAATTATAATTGTACTATCCCCTTTTTTCTAGGGTAAGCAGGACAGGGACTTTACATTGCACAACCCACCTGAAAACTGAAGCCTCTAGCAATGAATGTTAGATTTCATCATCTGCATTCAAAATGAGTGTGTAGCTGATAAGACAGTGTCATCTATATCCCATTAAAGAAGTTAAACTGTAATTAAAGAAAGATAAACTGTAATCTAATTAAATGCAATGAATCACAGTGTACAGGGAAGGTTATCATTACAGGGGGTTAGTAAATAAAATAAGGTTTAGAAGCTCAAAAAAGACAGACTGTCTCTATCTTCAGAGTTACAGAGAGAGAACCTGACTGGCCCAGGGTCCTGGTCTCTTAACAGTGGAGTGGAAGAGAAGGGATTCAACTTCATCTCCGTGAATCTCTGCAAGGGAACCCTTTTTAGCAGATAAAGAAGCTAGATTCAAAGAGAGTTTACTGCTGGTACAAAGTAAATACAAGACTCAAATCCACATCTATGAAATCCCAACACAGAGGTGAAACCATCAAGGACAACCTTACTAGCACCAATTCCCCAAATTTTGATTCCATATTCCCTTTGGAAATTCCTGCTACAGCTTTGATTTCCCCAAGAAATTCTGTACTTAAAAAATGAGTTTTTTGGTTCACCTGAGCAGGTCGTAGAACATTTCCTATACTGTAACAGTAATTTAAGTAGGTTTTCCCTCAGTCTTGTTCAAGACTTTCCCAAGTATCGTATACTCAAAGCCAGTATCTTTAACTGTAAGCTAAAACTCCAGGCCTACAAACTAACATCTTACTAACCTCCATATCACCACAATGTTTTTCCCATCAAATCCAAGTCTTAAAAAAAAAAACGTGGGCTGGTGGTTTAGCTCAGTGGCACCACGCCTGCCTCGCAAGCACAAGGTCCTGAGTTCAATCCCTGTTACCGGGGGTGGTGGGGGTGGGGGTGGGATTGTACATCATACTGAACACCATAAATGATAAATTTCAACAACAAAAATAGAGCCATTATAAAGTCTATTTGTCTGTAAATCAGAACCAAGATGGTAATCCAACTCCTCCTTGGAAATGCCAGTCAGTTCCCCTTATTCCTAGATTCCGGATTAGTACAGACGCTAAAATTTACTTATGACTTCAAAAACCAATACTCATGGCACTTTCAGAGTCATTTTTGGACATAGGCTTAGTGATGAAAAATTTTAATCAGAAGTTGGGAAATTTCCAGCTGAGGTATTTAAGCTCCCCTAATGTAACCAAGTGTCCTTTCCAAGATCTATTTAGTGCCACATTTTCAAAAGTAGATTTTACTGTTAAAAATGGTCCCAAAACAAAGGGCTGAAGTGCTGTCTAGTGTCCTTCAAAGGCTGTCATGTGCCTTGCACAGAAAATACATGTGATAGGTTTCATATATTAAGCATTAGTCAGTACTGTTGGCCATGATTCAATATTAGAGAATCAGTAATATATATTAAATAAGGCAAACAAACACACATAAAACAAGGTTATGTATTGATCAGTTGATGAAAATACAACCAGAGGCTTGCAGGAACTTAACCTTGTTTTTTTCCACTAGGGACAATGATTCATTACTCACTAACAGTGCTTATAGCAACTTTATAGAACACAACTGTCACAAATGTTGAAACATGTACTAACTCTGTATGTAACAAGACATTAAATGTAGAGCATTTTACCTAATAAGAGATCATTTTCTTCAAACTCAGAAATAACAGCTGAATAGGATGACCTTAGCAAGGGCTGATGATGATGGTTTACACGCTAAAAATATTAGAATAATACAAGCACAAAGAAAATGCATATCAAAAAAAAAAAAAAAAGAAAATGCATATCACATTATCACATCCCCAGGACAAAGAGTAGTTGCTTCATAGTGGACACATACCCCCAGGGCACATAAGATGATTCTGTGGGGTAAGAGAACACAACACTGATTGACTGATTGATTGATTAACTGACTGCAGTAATTACAGGGCATTAAAGTCAGGGCCTTCACACTGTGCTACATCCCCAGCCCTTTTTTATTTTGGAAGAGGGTCTCGGGAAGGTAAGTGGCTAATTTACCCAGGCTGGGCTTGAATTTGCAATTCTTCTGCTTCATCCTTCCAGAATGCTAGGAATATAGGTGTACACCATCATGCTTGCCATTTTTATTATTTTAACTTTTTTTTTTTGGTACCAGGGATCAAACTCAGGACCTTGTGGTTTCGAGGCAGGCAGCAGAACCACTGAGCTAAATCCCCGGCCCTATTTTTTAACATCTTTAAACTGCAGTTTATTTTAAAACCTATTAATAGTACATAATGTGTACATTATTTTTCACTGGCAGTGCTGCTTCAGTTCTGATATGTACATGACCAAAACAATGCTGGGAGACCAACACTGTAAAGGTTCAATGTCAACAGCTGCAAAAACCCAATTCCAGAAGGACCTGTCATCTACCTGAGAGACAGAGCTGGTGGCTTTGAGGACACAGATGCAGTGGCAACATCCAAGAAAAGCTGGGTTCAACTGGTGTTCTGCTCGCAACCGTGACAAGCTCACCCAGGACACCCCCACCCCAGGCACTGGTTTCTCTTGAGTAGTCGATCATAACGTTCATTAGATGATCCTAGCCAGCTGCCCAATCTGCTCTAGAAAATTCTATGACTGAGAAAATAAGCTGTAATAGCCAGGTTTGGTGGAGCAAGAGCCAGAGGATCAAAGGTTCAAGGCCAGCCTGGGCCACTTATCAAGACTCTGTCTTTAAATTATTTATTTATTTTATTGGGGTTTTTTGTATCTGAGATCGAACTCGGGACCTTGCGCTTTTGAGGCAGGTGCTGGAACCACTGAGCTAAATCCCCTGTCTTTAAATTAAATTAAACTGAAGGGCTGGTATGGTATAGGTCAGTGGCAGAGCTCTTACCTATCATGTGTGAGGGCCCTGGGGTTTAATCCCCAGTACTAAAAAAAAAAAGATAGATATAGATAGCTGGCAAGTAAAACTCACTGTTTGATGTTGCCTGGAACCTCAGGGCTAAAGGTGTGACCAGACAGAACTACAAACTAACAGAAAACATCATTTTCCAGAGAGGCTGTGTGAAATCTCCTAAAATAGCCTGGACTGTTGATGCTATATTACATACTTACTTGGCATTATATGCACATTCAACTGTCAGTGCTCAACAGAAAAAGAGGGAAAGGGAACAAACAACAGTGCTAGCAATCTGCCTGCCACTCCACCAAGGAGGATGTTCAGTTACCAGGAACAGCCTCCTTTCTTTCCCCAGGGTCTTACAGGCTGAGTAGTACAGTGTGAGGCTGATGTATGACATACTATTTTTATCACCTAATCCCAAAACAATTACTTCACTCCATGCTCCAGGGAAGAAGCAAGACTATGTTTCAACCCTCAAGGAAAAACTGGCTCCACCTGATTTCTTTAAAGATGAAAAGGCCGTCTCTAAAGAGTACTGACTTCCTATGGGCACTTCGGGGGAAATTTTTGACCAACCCTACCCAATTTTCACTGCAACCTCTAACTGTAGAATCAAACACCAGGTAAGGAAAGACTCGTCTATAATTATTCTGAGTCAAGGGTCCACTCCTAAACGGATCATCAAGAGGTAGTATCAAGCGAAATTTGTTGCCATATACTTTTATGGTACTTCATACTGATTCCTCTCATGTAAACTATGTCATTTAACATACAAAGCAGCCAAGCAAGGCAGCCTAGACAAACACTACAGATCCATTACAGAGGTTGACTGCAGTCATGGGAGGAAGAGTTTCCAGTAAGACAATTTGGGTTCAAATCCCAAATTTTTCAGAGCTTCAATCACCAAAATGAAGACAATGTACACACTTCCCTGTTTCCTCCTCTCATTCCACAGAAAGCAGGGATACAAGCTCACATCCCTACTCTGAGTAGTAATTCAAAGTAGAATGTCTTTCAGTTTCATGCTTAAAAGTTCAAGGATATAATTTAGTATCTTTTTAAAGTGTTCAAAAACTCAGTCCTTGTGGTACTCTGCTAAAAGCTTCTGTTTCTGTAAACATGAAATTCCACACTCTTGAAGACTCACAAAGTATGTGTGTACAGGCCCATAAGAGACAGGCTTTGAGAAGTCATGCAATAAATAAACTTAGTTGAACACACTCTGACTAGCATTTCCGAAAGGTGGGTTTAATGGAATCTTTGGGCATAATTACCACAGATCTAACATTCTTAACATACTTTTAAAAATACTGGTTTTGATAAATTCAAGTGTAACAAACAACAATAATTAATAACAGATATTGTAAAACAGGGCACAAGAAACTATTCTTTAAGCAAAATTCCAGAATCATTCTTCTGGCAGCCTGCTTTGTATATGCATATTGTTTGGTGTCAAAACTATTTAGGTCATTAGGGCTTTTTTTATTCTCAGATTTCAGTTAAGTTTGCCACAAGGATTCCAACAAGTGGCTCTTAAAGTTGCCGGGCAGAAAAGACAGTGGGAGAGAAAGATGGGAGAGGGTGTTATGTTTTTGTTACAAAACCAATTTAGACATTTCCTCTTCCCCAAAGTCAACTTTCCAGAATGGTATATATCTAATGCCAACCACCACTTTTGCTGTCCTTACCCCTGTTTTCCTCATGGCAGCAGGAGGCAAGTGGAGCTAGTGAGCAGTCAAGTATAAACCACAAAAATTAGAAATCCTTTTTTCTCTGAAAACCAAGAAAGTAGCTATTCTGTCACAAAAAGAAAAAGAAATTCGATGCGATTATCAGCATTTGGGCAATGCTAAAACTTTCCATAGAGGTCTCTTGCGTGATTAAAAACGGAAAAATGTCCAACCAGATTTCTTCAGAATTCTTGCTAGGATGCCAGGTACTGTGATTCTTCTAAAAAAGTTGTTAGGTACTTGTTACATCTGGAGTCCTAAAAGTGTGTATAAATTTTATATTATAACCTACATCCAGAAAATCATTCTTCACAAGTACTTTCTAAAAATAAAATAATTTAAAACAAGTTGCTCGGTTTCCTCAACCATCGGAGTTTATTCTACTGTATCTCTTATTTTACAAGAGCATCTCTAATACTTGCATCTGAAGCGAATTCTTAAACCTCTGGAAGCTGAATAATGACAACACAAAGCCTGAAGAATTGTTTTGTTAAAAAAAAAAAAAAAACTACACTAACATTTGGTATTTATTCTGACAGAGTACTAGACTAAAGGAACCCGCTATGATGCAAAGCAGTAAGCTTGTTAATTGCATCCACCCAAGTGGTGGTTACCAAGAGGAATGATTTGACAGAAACTTCAAGTTTTTTCTGAGGAAAATGCATGGAGCCTAGGAGTGTCTCCATAGGCCAGGGCTGTGGACCACAGATCACAGGAGCGCAGTTCGGGCACTCGCAGCGGGAAGGTAGGGCCAAGATGCCAGGGTGAGAACCCCCACGCTTCTCACTTTCCATTTTGAAGGGCCAGTCCCGGAGGATCCCCACGTCTCGTCTGCCGCCTCGCCGACCGGGTACACCGTGCAAGCTCACCTGTCCCCAGCCTGCTCTGCGACCACCTCCATCCCTTCTCACCATCTGCCTCCACCGAGCTGCAGGGACGGGGCGAAGAAAGATGGTGCCGCGGAGGAGTTCGCCCGTCACCTCCCCACGTTCCCATCCCCACAGTCTCCCGGAGCCTCTGGTCTCGGGTGGCTTCCCCACACCCTTCCGCCCCTCACCTTCACGAAAGCAATCGGGGTTGTGGTACCTTCGATATCCAACAGGATCACAGTGACCTCGGCGGGCACCGAGAGCCCGACCATCTCCTCACACCAGGCGCTAGACGCTGCCCTCCAGGATCCACACGGCCACCCCGGGGCGGCCAGGACCACGTGGGCGGGGCGGGGCGGGCGCCCATTGGCCGCTCGCGCCTCGGACGCGCCCGGGCCTGGCCCGCAGGGGCGGGAACATAGGGGAGCGCGGGAGCTAGGGGGTGAGGCCCGGGGCAGCGAGCAGGGCCAGGCGCGAGCGGACGGCCCCGGGGTGGCGCCCGGGACGCGAGTGTCCCCGCCGCGCCCCCTCTACTATCTCCCCGCCCGCCGCGCCCCGGCCCCGAGGCAGAGCGGAAGCGGCTCCGCGCCGTCCCCCGCTTCCTGTCGGCGGGTCGCTGCGGCGCGGACACAACACGCGTGCGCGCGCCGGCGGCGAGAGGCGGGAGAGCGCGGGCCACCTTCGTCCAAGCAACCCGTACGGCGCTGGGCTATAGCAGCCGCCGCCGCCGCCGCCGCCGCGCCGCGCCGGGGACCGAGTGCGCCCAGGGCGGGCTGAGCGCTCGGTGCCAGGAGAGGCCCGGACCGGACGCCAGGGACAAAGGCTCTCCAGGCAAGAGGGGCTGCGGCCCTGCAACGGCGCGCTCGGGATCGCCGACCCCGGGCCCACCGCCCTTGCGTCTCGCATCCGAGCCTCTCCTCATCCCGAGCCCGCGCCCCTTTCGTGGTCCCCGCCGGGAGGCCTACAATGGAGGTCCCGCCCCGGCTTGCCCATGTGCCGCCGCCATTGTTCCCCGCAGCTCCCGCGCCCCTGGCCTCCCGCAGTGTCTCCCATTGGCGGCCGCGGGCGCCGCGGCACCTAGCCCCGCTCCTCCCTTCGCTCGCCGCCGGCTCCGCCCGGCAGGGGGCGCGCCGGGCCCCGCGCCACGTCACCGCGCAGCAGCCCTCCCGATTGGCGGGCGGGGCGGCTATAAAGGGAGGGCGCAGGCGGCGCCCGGACCTCTTCCGCCGCCATTTTAAATCCAGCTCCATACAACGTTCCGCCGCCGCCGCCAGCACCCCCGCGATCCGGACCGCGCGCCCGCTCTCCCCTGCCGACGGTTCTGCCACCATGGAGGACATGAACGAGTACAGCAATATAGAGGAGTTCGCCGAAGGGTCCAAGATCAACGCGAGCAAGAACCAACAGGATGACGGGTACTGCATGCTCCCCCTCTGCTCCCCGTCAGCGCGCCGCACGCGCCCTCCGTCCCTGGGAGCCGCGCGCTGCCCTTGTTCTCTCCTCGAGGCGGTTCCCCGCGAGCCCCCAGAACCCCGCAAGCTCGGAAAAGACAGCAAAGGCGGACGCTGCGTGGGGTCCTTAAGAGGCCGTGGAGGTTGGGGGCTGGGCGGAGAGGGTGGCTGCCTCCCGACTGCGCAGGCGCGGGGCGGGGGCGGGGCCGGGTCGCCGCGCCTCTAGTCCCAGCTGCTGCCGCTTCTTCATTGTGTCCTGGCTGCTCCGCGCTGCGATGCGAGCGAGACTTGGGGGAAGTCTTGTTTAAGGCACCTCTGGGGACCCCATAACGTTATCCAACCGGCCGTTGAGGTGGATATTTGGCTTGACAGTAGAGGACGAGAGTAGACCAAAGTTGGGAGGGGCTGGTTTAGGAAGTTTTGGCTTTCTGATCCAAAGGAATCTGGGCAGGATGTTTTTCCAGAGTTTGATGGCCTTTTAAGGTTTGCATTGTGCAGTGTGGAGATTGTCCTGGTGCGTTGCTTATATGTGTGTTGAAATGGACTAAAAAGTTGTTAGCCATTACAAAACCTTTGTGCTTATTTCACGGTTTAATTTGAAGACCGAAGTATCATTTAAGTTACACTAAACTTTTATTTCTAGTAAAATGTTTATTGGAGGCTTGAGCTGGGATACAAGCAAGAAAGATCTGACGGAATATTTGTCTCGATTTGGGGAAGTTGTAGATTGCACAATTAAAACAGACCCAGTCACTGGAAGATCAAGAGGGTTTGGATTTGTGCTTTTCAAAGATGCTGCTAGCGTTGATAAGGTAGGCATGTGTTTTGTTGCATTGTCTTTTTGTATTTGTTTTTTGTTTTGTTTTGCAAATTGTTCTGAGGTTTGTATATTACTGACATTTTCTTAAATTGTCTCCTAGGTTTTGGAGCTAAAAGAACATAAACTGGATGGGAAATTGATAGACCCCAAGAGAGCCAAAGCTTTAAAAGGGAAAGAACCCCCTAAAAAGGTTTTTGTGGGTGGATTGAGTCCAGATACTTCTGAAGAACAAATTAAAGAATATTTCGGAGCCTTTGGAGAGGTGCGATGTGATTGTTTATATGTTTGTGTTGTGTTTATAGAATGTTTATCGTGGGTCTAAGTTGGCACTTAATACTTGGCCTGAGGATAGGATTAAATTACTACTTGAGTGCCTTTTAGTAAGCATATCTTAATTGCTGCTTTCTATGCAAAAATGAAAAAGCAGTTTATGATTTATTTTGGCCAAAAATCTAATGTTTTGATGGTGCTCATTACTGGGAATTACCATCTCTTGGGTACAAAATGCTGTTAAAAGCTGTTTTACTCTTTTCACAGTGCATGATACACACCAATTCTTTCTAGGTCATAAAGCAGTGACTTTTCAGAACTCACTTGATTAGGACCTGTGGTATCTAGGCACCTTTGGTACTTGTTTATCATTATTGGATGATGTTGTTTGCAGATTGAAAATATTGAACTTCCCATGGATACAAAAACAAATGAAAGGAGAGGATTTTGTTTTATCACATACACAGATGAAGAGCCAGTCAAGAAATTGTTAGAAAGTAGATACCATCAAATTGGTTCTGGAAAGGTAAAACCATTTAATTACATTAAAAGAATTTAAGAATTAGATGGAAAAAAATTAACTCAGAGGAATAAAATAGTTTGATGCAGTAAAAATCCTTTTCTGTTTTACAGTGTGAAATCAAAGTTGCACAACCCAAAGAGGTATATCGACAGCAACAGCAACAACAAAAAGGAGGAAGAGGTGCTGCAGGTGGTGGGCGAGGTGGCACTAGGGGTCGAGGCCGAGGTGAGAATTCCTGGGAAGTGACTCCGTGGTTATAAGCTGTCTACTGCTCAATAAGATTAAGCCTATGAGAAAGTAAGGTGGAACTATAACCTGAAACTACTCTTAACATAAACCCTATTTCAGGAATGTGTGATTTTTGTTTTATAATGAGCACATTCTGGGTAGGATCATAGTAAGTTCAGCCCAACTGGACAACTTGGTGGAACCCTGTCTTAGAATACAAAGTAAAAAGGGTTAGGGATATAGCTCATTGTGAAGGCCCTGCATTCAATCCCCAGTACCACAGTAAAATAAAATGATCTTACTGGTTTTATGTGTTCCAAGAATGGCCTCTTTTGACAGTGACATCACTGTTAAGGAAGTACCATTACATGATACACTGTGACATGTTGGGCAGGAGTCCTTGTTTGAACCAGAACATCCTGCCCATTTTCCACTTTGTTGGAAAACATAATGATTTTTCCATTAAATTTAGGAAGCTTGAGACTGGCCACAATTGGATTTTCTGTCCCCTTAATTGTGACGACAAAAGAAAACTTGCTCTAGTGGGCAGCATTATTTGTGTCTTTTTTTTATTAGTGTTGCAGAGTAAAGTATAAGAATGTATGATTTTGTGTTAAGATTGGAGGTGAGAGGTTGTTTCCTAACAATCACTGCATTGTTTCAGGTCAGGGCCAAAACTGGAACCAAGGATTTAATAACTATTATGATCAAGGATATGGAAATTACAATAGTGCCTATGGTGGTGATCAAAACTATAGTGGCTATGGCGGATATGATTATACTGGGTATAACTATGGGAACTATGGATATGGACAGGGATATGCAGACTACAGTGGTAAGAATATTTAATATACTTTCATAAATCAATGGCGTTAAAACTTAGTGCTGAAATTTTCATTCTGAATTGTGTGTATGGGTTTTCCATTGTTTGGAGTTGAGGTTTTGGGGGGTATTATAAAGTGGTTATAATAATGTAGAGGGTAGTATGGTAATTATAAAAGAATTGGGATGAGTTGGGTGTGGTGGCACATGCCTGTAATCCCAGCACCCTGGGAGGCCAAGGCAGGCAGAGGCCAGCCTGGGCAACTTAGACAGACCCTGTATCAAAAAATAAAAAGGAAAAAAATAAAAATAAAAAGAGCTGAGGATATACTATCGCTCAATGTAAAAGCCCTGGAGTTTGATTACTAAAAGCACTAGGATGTGTTACAATGAACTTATACTGGTTATTAAAACATCTTCATACTTTAATGTGTACATAGTTTTACACATTGGTGGCTTTTGATGTATTTGAAGATAACATTTTATACAGATTTTTCTTAGTAAGATTTGTATCCTTTCAAAATAGGTCAACAGAGCACTTACGGCAAGGCATCTCGAGGGGGTGGCAATCACCAAAATAATTATCAGCCATACTAAAGTGGAAGACATTGGAGAAAACAGGTGTGTATAAGAGTGCAAGAAACCAGTGGAAATGTCTAATTTAATTTAAAGATCAATAGACAAATAAAAATAAGTAAAAACAAAATATTATGTAGCCTGTTTTTACTAAATTGTTAATTTTAATTGCTTTATGAGCCTGTTTTGCCTAAAGTGTCTATAGATCTTTAACTTTAAAGTTTTATCTCACCTTTTTTAATATTACAGAAAAACTTAAGAGTTTTTCTGTTTGCTTTGTGTACCAGGAGGTCTAGAGGAATAATTAAACTTTTTTAGAACTATTAACAGGTAAAGTACTGAAATGGGTACAACTTAAGGAAAACAAGAATGTTGTCTTCTAACTCTGACATTATACCTTGTTTGTACCCGCCAGCGGGAACTTCATTGCAGGCCGTGTGTCACCCTGACCACGTCTATCTCTGGGGGTCGCACGTTGCGGGCAGAGCGCAAGGCATACACCAGAAAACGCTGTCCTGTGGTATGGTCTCTTCCAACTTCATGTACCAGCGTAAAGATTAAAGTGGAAAACTTCAGACTTTGGCTTCTTTTTTAATCTTTTTTGGAGATTAAGTGTCTAAACTTAACTTAAATGGTTTTTTACAGGAGTTAAAGTACATAAATGCCTTTTTACAGCTTAATCATTTTTGGTCTTCTGTTTAGTGTTGTATTTCAATTGTGGAGCCTCATTTTAAGTGTTCATTCTTTAAGATTTAATGCTTGCTTTTTCTTTTTATAGCTAATAGTGAAATCTACAAAACAAGAACTTTTAAATCTGGGATATAAGTTAAAGATCATATGCACAAAAAGATTTGTCATAATACATAAGTATTAGAAATTCATGTTTGTGGTAGCATTTTACTTGGCTTACTAGAAATACTTCTAGTGGGCCTTAATCTGTCTGTTCAACCTGTGAATATGGGAAAGTTGCATTCCCAGATTCTTTCTGACTAGATTTGGATTTGATATCATTTGTAAACTCCAGGGTGAGTTTATCAATTACCCAAACTGCATTTTGCAAGTGAATATGCATGTGATCTTTAATTATTGAAGAAAAGAATAAAGTGAGGACTTAAAACAATTCATGAAAGTGGACCTTTGAAAGCTTGTCAGAGTTGCACAAATCTAATTGTTGTTTTGTTTTTGTTTTTAGGAGATGCTAAAGAAATCTTGCAGAACGACATTGAAGATTGGTCTTCTGTTGCTCTAATGATTATTTTGTAAAAGACTTTCTAGTGTACAAGACACAGCTGTGTCCAACTGTATATAGCTGCTAATTAGTTTTCTTTGTTTTTACTTTGTCCTTTCTATGTGTTATGCCTCAGTGTGGATTTGTGTTTATACACATTTTATTTGTATGATTTCATGTTAAACCCCAAATAAATGCTTCCTTATGTGATTGTTTTTCTGCGTGAGGTGCTACATAGCTCTGTAAAGATGTAATTTTAAATAAGCAATAATAAAGGTACAGTTTATTTTGTAGGGAGTATGGGTCTGTAGGAAGAAACTGGTCCTTTAGCCAGCCGCGGGATGGATTACCCTGTTCTTCCCCATTTTTGTATGTATGTACTATGCTGTAAGGCTTCATTTCTCTTAGCTGAGGTTTCTGCTACACCTTTGAATAGCGTCCTCCAGATACTTTTATCTCAAAACCTAAGTCGTGGTGTTGCGATTAGGGGAAGCTTTCTAATAGACCATGTGTTCAGTTTCGTTTTTTTTGTATCAGGGATCGAACTCAGAACCTTGCACTTGTGAGGCAGGCAAGGTGCCACTGAGCTTAATCCCTGGCCCTAGACCATGTATGTGTCTTTTGTGCTCTGTTTAAGAAAGATAACTCTTGTGGGCTGGGGGTGTAGCTCAGTGGTAGAGCACTTGGTTAACATGCACAAGGCTCGGGGTTAAAGCCCCAGCACTTGCCAAAAAGAAAGCACTTGTTGATAGTTCCTTTTGCTTTGTTCTCTCAGTGACAAATGTGTGATTTGTTAGTTATTTTGACCTTAGAAGTTATCTGGTGGTCTGTTAGAATAAGCTTTGGCTAATCATAACACCATGACTTTGTCCTCTTGATTAAAAGAGAAATTGAGATGCACAAACAGCACTAAAACTAGTGAGATTTGTGGTTAAATAGTATTGAGTAGTTAAAGCGGATTTTTATCAGAAGTGTGAGATTTTCAAAGTTTGGTCAAAAGATGAAGATGAGAGATTGTGGCAGAATAATTTTGTTGTATTTTTATTGATGTGTCACAGCAAACAGATTGAATAAAAATGTTTTCTATTTGGGCATTCTTAGGAATATGTTTTAGAGTTGTGTAGTGTGAGTTTAGAGAAGTCATGCTAGTTGATATTGCTTTAAGTGCATGAGCTGAGTAGGGATTTCTATGTTCGTACTTAACGAAGGGACTGAAAATAGCGCTTACATGTTAGGTTTGTTAACATGATTAAGTTGCCATTTTGGCATACCTTTCTGATAATGTAGAAAAATTTTATATCTAGATTTTAAAAGACTTTTGGCTAAATACACACTGAATTTCATATTCAATATAGTTGGATTTAGGGAAGTTTGTTTCCATGGCTCCATTTTAGCTGTTAGGGGCTGGCATACATGTTCACATTATAGTAGTTGACTACACACTTAACCAGTGTAAGTTTTAATACCAATCAATACCTGCCCCCCTCCCTAATTTGATGCCTGTGACTTTGTTCTAATGATATGTGTACTAGCTGGGCTATCAGGTTCAATGCCTTGGTCTTATTTTGCTATAGGCAAGTACCAATATTGGCTGTTTCAACAGATTTATTTTTCCAGCATGGAATCCTAGGGACTGAAAGGGAGATTATTTTAAGTTGTCAGTAGGTGCGGTGTCTAGAGTAGTGAATCCTGTAAATTCAAATTTATGGTTAGGTGACAAATTGAGATTGTCCTTTTCCCTGATCAAAATGAATAAAAGCTTTTTAAACAAAATACAAACTCTTCAATTAAGTCTTGGTATGTATGACTTTGAGAAAATAATGCTACATCTAAAGATTATTGCCTGAAATGGTTTACCAAGAATTAGAAGTGAAAATGTACTTGGTTTTTGTTTGTAAAGGGCTTTGGATTTGAGATTTAAGTGTTTAAAGTATATGAGTTCCCCAACTGGTAATTCAAAATACATTGCCAAGGCTAAATATTCTAGACAGTTGTAGTTCAGTGACCTGTAGTATCAAGATTCCATCCCTAAGTATTAATTTAGAACCAAACTGAATAGTTTAAATACTGAAGAGAGATAAGGGTAGAATTTTGAAATACCATGATCTACAGAATTACTCCATTTACCAAAATACGCTTGCTGAATTATTTTAACCAAAGTTGTGGCACTACTCAACAGTATTTATTGACCATTTCTTTAACGTTAATATTCTGTAGTCACATAGCCACTTAAAAGTGTAAATGTTGAGAGCCAGGATGTCTGTTGGGTAACTAACAGGTGAAACTGCTTAGGCCATTACTGTTCAATGCATCATTTTCAGGATGGTGGCAAAAATCTTTTGCCAATCTAAAGGTATTCCAGTCGTAGCTGTTAAAAAGATTCTGGTGGCTATTAACCAAATGATGCTTTTCACAAATTGAGGTGACAATAGGCAGGTACATGAACAGTTGTTAGTTATAGGGAATAATACCCATGTATATATACCACTTGAATTCTTACATTGAACAAAATGATGAAATGCTCTGTAAAAATCTCAAAGGCTGGGCCTCGTGATGTAAGCCTAATGGCAACAGTCTTGAAGACTGCAGGAGCATGTTTGAGCCCAAACTGGGCAACTTAACAATTTAGTGAGAATGGTACCTAAAGAAAGGGGGAACCAGGAATATTGCTCAGTGTGAAGGTCTTGGGTTCACAACCCTACCCTCAAATCCTTAAAATTTCTCAGCCTGATAGACTACCATTGAATTACTATGGTCTCACCTTTTTGAGCTAAAGCAGCATGATTTAACTTTTTAACAGTCATTGAACATATTTTGCCGTAAAAATTGGGCTGATCTTTTAGAATTGGTTGGGTTTTACATTTTTTAAACCCACATTGGAATTTCAATAAGGGTTGGCATAATAGCAAAAAATAAAAGTACACTTCAACCTTCTTAAACTAGGAAAGGATATAGTGGTGTGCTGGAAATTTCAGGATAATACTGAGCATTTTGAAGACTTCTTGTGCCATTCAAGTGGCAACTTTAATCTCTGCTTTTACCTTCCCATCAGTACCCATTCAGAGATGTACTTGGAGAGGTATTTGTGTCATGTCAGTGTAGTCTGGAAAAGATAATCTCTTGTTCTTGAAGTCTGGAAATTTTTTTTAATCATAAATTATTTTTTAAATCTAAACCAAGTGGAGAGTTCTATTTAGAAATGAACACTTAGCACATAACTGCTCACAACACTGAGTTATTTTTAAAGTCAATTATTTCTGAAACCTAATACCTCCTCTAAGAAATAGTACAGATCTTCCACTTTGGGATGTTAAGCTTGGTGTAGGTACATACATATGTATATTTGAATTTCTAATTAGTTTTATATGACAACTGACAACTAAAATCAGCTATCATTTCACGTACTATACTAAAAAGTCCCAAGATTGTGGGTTCTGAAAGACTAGCACAAGTTGCTTGAGAAACCCTGCTGCAGACAAGTTTTTTGATGTCAGTGCTTTGGTTTGAGTTTGGTTTCCTATGTATCTAGGCTGACCTTGAACTTGCTATGTGGCCCAGACTGGCCTCAGGCATACAATCCTGCATCAAACTCTGGAGTGCTGAGATTATAGGGATGTATGAAGAAGCCTTACCAATGGATCTGTCCTTTTGAGATACACAAAAGGACCAAAAGTGAATTCTGAGGCCCCTTACACACCCAAGAAAATATCTATACATAAATTTTAAATGTAGTTGCTGGGAAATGACAGACTTCTAGACCCGTCTGGTTTAGTCTCAAACTTGCAATCCTCCTGTCTCAGCCTCCCAGAGTGCTGGGATTACAGACGTGCACCACCATGCCGAGCTAATTTTAAATATTTGCATCACGTGAAAACACTTTAAATATTTCCCCCCTAGGCTACATGTTTTAAATGGCTTGTCAATTGTATTACTTATGTTTAATGACATTTCTATTAGTCAAAGTATATCACTGACAGAACTTCTACAGTGATAATCAGTGTCATGCCAGCCAAAATCAAAGAAACTATTTTTGTTAGTTTGTACAGATTTTTCTAATAATATATGATTTCTATCAAACTTCTAAAATATTGAAAATCCAAAGATTTTTTATTACTACTAAGACTTTTTAGAACCATGGCATATCATTGGGCTAAGGAAGAAGAAAGGCATTGTTTGAGTATTTCACCTAGGAAAAATTATATTTTAAAGATACTGTATTTGGGAATCTTAAAAAATATGCATTTGAATGAATTTGGAAGACCCCTAAATCATACCTTTGATCTCATTTAACATATTTCTGTTTTTGAAACAATTATTCCATGTAATGCATATACAGATAGGTCTTAGAGAACCTGTCAAAACAGAATCGCTGGGCACAGTGGTTCATCCCTGTAATCCCAGCACTCAGGAGGCTGAGGCATGAGGAAGCATAGCAAGTCAAATACATGAAAATCACTGTGAGGAACTAGAGACAGAAGATATAGTGAGTATAATTGAAGTTTTACAAGAAAAGGAAAAGTAAGAGTAGTTGAAGAGCTAATGGCTAAAAGAATTCTAGAAGTGACAAAAGAATCTACAGCCTTAATATATCCAATGAGCTGCTGTTAGGAAAAATAGAGATATACCTGGATGCCGTGGTGCATGCATGTAGTCTCACCTACTTGGAAGGCTGTGACAGGAGGATCACATGTTGGACCTCAGCTTGCCCAGTTTAGCAGGAAAATTTAGAAAAGTCTGGGAATGTAGCTCAGTGATAGAGCACTTGCCTAACATATGGGAGGCCCTGGGTTCAATCCCCAGTACCAAGAGAGCAGTCAAATATAGATCCATGTACCAGTAATCAGGAAATACAAGAAATAGAGGCACTTATACTATCATAGGATGCAACCCTTATACCAAGCTCGAATGTGGAAAATGCAGGAGAATGACCCATTTCTTCAACTGCCATAGTAAGCAACACCAAGTAGGGCATGGAGGTAGCTTGCAAGGATCTAAAGTGCAAATCATTTTTAATATGACATTGTACAGGTTTTATGGATAATTAAGGCTACTTTCCCAGGTTTGGAGAATTCTCATCTTACGAGTCTTGCTGAGAAGCAAAGAGTAGCACATAATATAAATATTTAAAAAATCACTCTCCCAGGCTTCCTTACAGCCTGAGCACAGATATGTGATGTCACCACTATTATCCTGCACTAGGCCTTGAGCCAGGATTTAGTGAATCACATATGCACAGATTTTGTAGAATCAGTGCTGGGACAGCTGGCAGTCATGGTGGCAACCGCTTCTCAGAAAGAGCCGGGTTTCTACCACAACACCCAGAATCTAGCACTGATGGGGTTAGCATTGAAAGCAGCAGTATCTGGTGTAGCAAAACCCAGAGCCTGGGAACCAGTCCTGGGGTGTGATTTTTGATTAGTATATGTTGGTGATACATAATAATTACCTGCATCCTGGGGAATTGGTACATACGCGAAACACATCTTCATCATTTTTATTCCCTCTCCTTCCCCCTTCCCATCTCCTCCCATCTCCACAAAGTCTACGTCCCTGTTTTCTATCAGCTATGTTTTATTTTGTACTTTATTTATATTTTAGGTTTCTCACATAAGGGAAAACATGTAATATTTAATCTTCTTGTCTAATTTATTTCACTTAGCATTATGGTCTCAAGTTTCATTCATTTTCCTACAAATGACTCAAGTTTCTTTATGGCAGAGTAATGCTCCATTTCGTGTAAATACCACACCTTCTTTATCCATTCATCTGTTGATGGGCCTATAGATTTAGCTATTATGAATTATGCTGCTATAAACATGGGTGTGCATGTATCACTGTAATATGATGTCTTTAATTCTTTCAGGAAGATATCCAGAAGAGGTACGGCTAGGTTAATTTGAGGTGATTTTAGAAACATGCAGGGGAACAAAGGCTGGATATTTAGCAAACATATTAATCAGAAGCACCTCCACAAGAGCAGACTTGGAATATCCAAAAACGCAATGAAGACAAATGGCAAAATTATCAGAAATCAACATTTTCTGAACTCTGGAAAGTAAAGTTTTGCAACAATCTGAGAAACATTTCCCCCCTGCCCCCAAACAATGGCTCTATTTCAGCAAGAACAATGCACTTTGTGACGTTTTAACTTGTTCTGTTGCTATCCTCTCCTGCCATCCTTGAAAACCAACCAGCTTTCCACCTACAGTAATATGGAAACCACCAGACGCTAAGGCACCACCAGGGTGAAACAGGTCAGAACCTCTCCAAACCCATCCCTACAGAAGGAAGCTCTTTGACCTACTTGGAATCTCGACAACAGTCAGAATGGCTAAAGGTCAAGAGGTCCTGTGCAGGCAGGCAGAGAGGAACATTAGAAAAACCCAGAGGTCCTGATCAATTTTGCCGAATTTTCCAAGAAGTACTCAGAGAGGTGGAAGATAGTGTCCAGGAGAGAGAAATTTAAGTCTGATGAAATGGCAAAGGCAGATAAAGTGCGCTCTGACAGAGAGACGAACGATTACGCCAGGGAAGGGAGACAAAAAAAAAAAAAAAGGATCCTAATGCCCCCTTTGAAAGACCGCCGTCTGGATTCTTCCTGATTTGTTCAGAATCCCGCCCCAAGATCACATCCACAAACCCTGGTATTGCCGTTGGAGACGTGGCCAAAAAGCTGGGTGAGATGTGAAATACCTTAAGCTACAGCGTAAAGCAACCCTGATATCACCAAGTGAGGAAGCGCCAGCAGGACTGAGCTGAGTACAAGAC